ACTATTGATTTTATTCGTGATATTATAATGCGAGGATTTGCTTTAAATCATATCATACTTCGGCGATTCTGGATTATAGATTATTCAGTTAAATATGGTAAGATGGCTGCAGAAATTTAAAATTAAAAATATGAAACCGTAATTTATGAATAAAGAACAATTATGATCTAAAGGGTATCCAATTACAAAAAAAAAAAAAAAAAAAAAGCTTAATATTTATTTGTTACTTTATTAAACATTTCTTTCATGTAAGTTTTAGTTGCTTCGTTTTTCGGTGATAATACATTCTCTTTAATTTTATAACAGACATAATTTTTGTTCAGTTACAAAGTTCCGATGTTCAAGTCCTATAATTGCTGTGTCGAGAATATCGATTAATTTGTCAATCGAAATTTTTTCGTTTTCAATAACCTCTGTCACTTTCTTCACTATCGGAAGTGAATTATATGACGAGAACTTGTTTAAATCATATCAAACGGAGTACATCGAGATGAAATACTACATTTAGTAAGGAATTATAAGCCAAATAAAATAAAAATATCTGCCCTGAAGATAAGGATAGTGCTGACAGATCAACTTCCAATTCATTGCTCGCTGCGGCGAATCACAACTCTAGTTAACAGAAGATGTTTCTAACACCTCGGGAAAGATTAATCTTCAGCATGTAGTTTATTTTCCAACCTAGTTTCAGGCTGAATTAGTTGTAAAATTAATTACTTGAAATTATTTGTTAACAAAGATGGTCGCTAAATCACGCTAATAATATTTCTAACTGTTGTAATTTATAATGCAACGAGTTCATGTGATTTATAATGTAATTCATTTATAATTTTTCAGCAGTATTGAATTAATAGCAGATAATCATAATGATATACATTTAGATTACAATGATTTAGATTGCTATTGCCTTCTTCACTCATGCTTTTATGCTACATTCCTAATATTCATAATGGCATACAGGTAAGTTAAACTCATTTACCAAACATGTAAATATCTAATTTCAGTCCCACTTTTGTTCTTACGTGTGCTGTATCTTCTATTTTCTTTAATTATTGTTTTTTCTAATTTCATAAGGGTCTGGGAAAAGTCACTAACATTGATAGTTCGACTCGAGTTTCTAGTCCCAGTGATCCCCCCCAGCTCTTCTTATTTTGTACTTATTTACTGTATAAAAATGTAGCATAAAAATTTCAGTTCATGAAGTAAAAAATACCTTTTTAATTTATTCTTTAAAAATATTGCAAAAATTTTTACCTTTACCTTAGCATATCTTTTTGCAAATCCCTCTAATAAGAAAAAATAAGGAAAGAAATTAACTCAGTTTCGGTGATTGATACCTCGGTGCAAATCATACGTAACATTTTCCAAAAGCATAGAATTTATATGGATATCAATAAATTAAGGATTATTTCTCCATCCAATTTTCTTAATATGTTTATTCCAGAATTTTCTTTTCACACTGTAGTGCTTAACTTTATGAGTTTTCTATAATCATTCTATTTCTCTAGCTATGGCAACTTTGCATACCTTCTGACAAGTAGTTATATTTTTAACCACTGTATTTTAATTCCTGTTGGCTATCAGTACATTATTCACTTGTTTCACAAGTGCAACTTTTATTTTATACGCAAATCTATGTAAAATAGCATTAAAACTTCACTTATGCGGAGCTCCTCATCGATTAATTGTTTTAGATTGAATGAAATTAAGCTTAATGTTACTGTTAATTAGCTTGCTATTAATTTAATTGTATGTTTCTAACTAATTATATGTTCAGATATTTCCAAGTATATTACACAAACTTTTGCATCCTAATTTTTAGTTTTTGGTTAAAAAAATAAGCTTTTATTGAGAGGCCTGATTGATTATATTAATTTGCAGTACTGTTTATCTAATTCTTTTCTTCTAGATAAATTTTAGAAACACTTCTTAGCATAATCATTTAAATTTATTTACAATTTATACGTCAGTTATCAAAACACATAGTAATGTTGTTATAATAGATTTCATGCTAAGCTTTTTTTTTAAATTAAACTATTAATTTCTGCAAACATTTATATGATAGCTTTAATTAACGAAAAATATTTCTAGCACACTTTAACACACTTTGATATGGAATAATTTTTTGCACTCTATTAAATTTTCCAGTCTAGTTCAGACATCTTGACTATTATTGATGTAATTTATTAAAAATATAATTTGTATCCTTTATTATAATTATTAATTATGATATTATTAATAAATGAAAGATGTTTGTGATGCTAATATGTATGTTTACCAATACCTTTATTTTCTTTGTTAGCTCTCGCATTTATTACTGTTATTAAAGTAATTAGCCTGCTTGTTAGATATTTTTTACTTGTTCTTGTGATATGTAATTCTATTTATTTATTTTTATTTTTCTCTTGGCTATGAAAAGTTAAATTGTAACTCTGTAGGCAGCAGGGGGGAAGAAATTTTGATTGGCGCAGTTGGACTATAGCTCGACCCGGGGGGATTTTCATTAGCGCATTTGGAGTACACCCAATTTTAGCTTAGCTTATACAGTCTGTTATACATTAAACGCACATGCGTAAACGTTTTATGCGCACACGCATATTCGCAGCCGTAAAGGTCTTATGCGCACACGTAGTTGACGCATGCGCAGAAAGTTTGTAGCTTTGAGGTCCGGATTATAGATCATTCCGGATTATGGGTGTCCGAATTAACGACTTTTGACTGTAATAAATTCGATACCATCATATTTTATTATTATCTTATTTCTGACTGTAGTATTTTTAATGTCATTCTCACTAAATTAATTTTGAAGACTGATGAAAGAGCTAAAAGCTATTTAAAATATTAAATATGTTTAAATTTTTTGGGGAGGAGGGAGAGGAGGAGAGAGAGTTTAAAACATCTCTTCAGACTAATATTAGCAAGAAAACGTACGGGATTGACTCAATAAACTATTAAGAAAAGACATCAGTAAAAGATAATTTACTGATGAAACTAAGCAGTTCTTTTTATAATGATTAACCTTCCAGCACACGCGCGTGTCAATTTTACATGAGCACGCACGCGTCGTATTTTTTAAGACATCTGTTATTTCACCGCTTTTTGGCATGAAAAACGACAGAAATGAGTGAATATTGATAATAAATTTGTTAAAAAGTAAAATAATCTTATTTTTACAAAATACTAATGATATCACATTTAAATATAAGTAAATTATTTTTAAGTTCTTATGTTAGTGAGATGGAAATGCAATGATGTATTTCATTATAGAAAATTTTAAATTTATTATTCAATAATTATATTTTAAAATTGAAACTAATTTTAATATTAAGACAAGTATAGAAAATAAAAATGGAAAACACCTTGTAGGAAAAAAAGTCAGTTTAGCATTACTTACTTCTGCAAGGAAATTAACTTCTTACTGGTTACAAAAATGCACTTTAATGTTTTTATTTATTTCTAAAAAATAGAAATAAAAGAACATAGGGAATGGAAATCACTACTGTCCTCCCATCCAAAGGTTTCCTTGTCTTCCTTTTCTTCATCAGATAAGTCTTGAAGAATCCGAGCAAAATCAGCTGGTTGCACATATTTTGTTGCCATGAAAACCGATATAAAATTTACACAGCCAAATGTATTCAAATTAAAATAATACACGGCAATTAATAACACAAAATGCAAAATATTTGAGAAAAAATATTTTTTAATTTTAAAACATGACCAGGTGCGTGTCGTAACTTTTATGAAAAAGCTGCCACATAACTCAAAAGCCCAGTTGAAAAAAAGAAAAAAAGTCAAATGACTTCCTGTTGGCACATTCCATGTTGTGGGGTAGAAAGGAGGTATAGAAATGACCTTCAGATGTCTCAGCTTCGATATGCGAAAAATGTGCATTAAAAACTGAATTTGTTGTAAATTTTGCGCATGCACGCGTGTTGGAAGGTTAAAGAGAAAAAATAATTATTATTATATTATTTTGAGTGTTAAAAATAATTATTAATGCAACCTCCTTAGTAGAAGATGCTAAATTCCAGCAATCATGAACTTAACAATTCTTCAGAAACCTTGCATACAACAGTTCTTCAGTTTGAACAAGCAATGTTGCATTTTCACATGCATTCTTTTTGTTAGATTCCAGGTTCTGATGTTTTTGTAGACAAATTATGGTATACTTATCTCAAACTTGATTTTAAAAATTTGCTCGAACAATTTGCCTACATTACATGAAAGTAAAACTTCATATTGAATACAGTATTTTTTTCACAAAATTACAAAAAAGAACAATTGCTTTAGTTGTTCAATTCAATCTGTTTAATTGCTGAATCAATTCAACCTGTTTAATGCTTCCAAAATTTCCATCACAACAAACGGAACAAATAACTTCCTTCTAAATAAGTTTTTGATTGTTTGGGACAAATAGCTGTTTAAACATAAAATATTATATAACTTGTACGTATATAAGTAATAATGTTTTGCAATTATACATTAACATTCCTTTTCTTAAGAAATCACCACGTTACAGTAATACATAAGTACTGAACATTTTTCAAAGTTCTCCTCTGTCATTGTTAAAGCTGAGTCAGATGTAATGAAATTTAACTATGGTACTTATATTTGCTACATTGAATGCCAATAGGGAAGAAGCTAATATGAATTCTTTTTACTTGCGTTTTGAACTGTATAATCAATGTTGTATCATTTTTATTATGTTAAAAAGAGAATACATAGAATGTTTTGAAAAAACTTTAAATAAGTATAAACATTATTTTTGTGAAATTAAAAAAGCATTTGGACCTCTTCATGAATAGGCAAATATGTTACAAATAATAGTCCAATCTATGGGCTATTTCCAGAAGAAAGGATCTAAAATAATTTTCGGCACATAACAACACAATTATGTCAGTATTTATGACTATTGGAAATAGGAGTATTTATGACTTATATTCTGATTATAAATAAAGTTTTAAATTTATGAAGTATTTTATACAATAAAAATAACATACTCGATAACACACTGGATCAACCATAATCATCACAGTAAATTCTCTTCCAGATACAAATGGAAATATCCCATGTCGTTCTTCATTCCCCCATGTATTCATTTCATATGAATTTCTGACAACTAACCGCCCATGCATCCTAACACTGATATGTAATGGTCGATCAGACCTGGGATCCAGCCCAGTTAGAAAATTGATCTCAAATCTGTAAGAAAATACAGTAATATTCTGTTATATAAACACTAAATTTAAATTATATAAAAACACTAAGTGGCAAAATAAGTATCTTTTAAACTCTGGATAAATATTTCACTTTTAAGAAAATTCACATACAACTTTTCATTAATTTAATTAGTATATCATAAATGGTATTACTTAAAATATAAAAATTATGGTCACAATATATGTATGTCTATTATACATTAAATTTATAACAGCTTTTACATCCGGATATATTAATAGCATTAATAAAAATAGGCTATACATAAAAACAATATATGTGTTTTATAAAACAGTTTTCTAACTTCCATCAAAGTACATTTCATTATCCTACTATTTTTTTACAGAATAAGTGAAACTGCCATTTCTCCACCCCTTTTTTTTTCTATTTGATGCCGAATATAGTAACCAAAATCTGCTGTTCTTTTTGAAATTAAATTTTTGTTGCTAATATTGCAATAAAATATCACAAGAAAATATAATAATAAATTGCAACAAAATTTGAACTAATAATAAAAACTCAAACAGTAATAAATTATTTAAAATGCTTTAGTGACAACAAATAAATAAAAAGACAGAAACATTTGTTTTTCATGAAACAAAAAAATATAATTCAAATTATTAAACTAAATTTTAAATTCTAAACCAATATGTTAACATTTAACCCTTTAACCCGAATTTTCTCGTTCTTTTATGCAGGCCTCTTGATGGTTATCACGGAATATTGTTAGTTTAAATGTACTCTCCAAAATGGATTGTCCCGAGTTTTAGCGAAAAGATATGCCGAGAATGACTAGCCTGGATTTTTGTATGTCTTCCAACCTCCAATGCCTAAGAGGACAAGGGTCCACGCAACCCCGATGACAATGGATAATGGCTGTCATTAGTGTGGGGAGAAATCTTCTTGATGTTTTGAGATAAAGGCCTTATGCTGACTCTAAAGGAACAAATTTATTACCAGTTACAAAGTGAATGTATATATAAAAGGAATTAAGAATTTCTGTTTTAGAGGAGTTATTGAATAAAATAAAGAAGTTTTTACAAAATAAATTTTTATTTATAACTCATAAAATTATTAATGAATTAAAATAAGAAAAATAATGTATTATATAATCCTCTTTAAAAAAATTTCTACAAATTTGCATTACGAATAATAAAAAGCAAGAGGCTCTCTTGATAAATTTATAAATCTTATCCTTTTGACAATGCGATTCGATCATTTGATTTCGTTATTTAAGAATCTGTTATTCTTGTTATAAAACTGTATAGGAATTTTTCAAAGGAGCTCTTATTCCCATTAATCTGTACGACAAATTATTTTTCTCCTTTTGGTTCAGTCCTTTACTTCCAAGAATCCTCTTACCTCATAAAAGTATAAAGTTTTAAAAATTCGCCCAAAATCAGAAATGAATTAAAATCAAATGTTAATTTCACACAAATTTCATTTTAAAAGCTATTTTACGCTCTGCAAAATGATAAAAACTTAAAATTTTCGAGAAACTTAAAATTTTTAGTTTATTCTTTAAATGGAAATATGCACAAAAAATCTTTCCAACATTAAATTTTAAGACCTTTACATCTAATTTTATAAAGCTCGGTTTACCACGCCATATTTTCATCCGTAAATGGTGTGTGTACAAAATTTGAACTCGATAGCTTATCGAGAAATAGTCTAAAAATCGATGACGAGTTTCTGATTATAGCGACAAACACTGTGAGTGAAATGAATACACTTTTTGAAATAAACTTGCAGACTCTTAAATATTATATTTTTAAACATTTAGGAAAGCTTGGTAAATTGTTGATATCATATAACCATCATTTTTATAACATTCTTGGTATTATAAAGCATGTATGTGGCATTCATACGAGATTCCCGGCAGTTCTGTTCATTTGTCAAAGTGTCTGCTTTTGATACTATTGTGATGTTCATTCTATATGCTCCACTATCTGTGATACTCATTATCGATATTTAATTATGTTCTGTATATATACAGAAATAGTGATAAGATTGAGAGAGGTCAACAAAATTTTTGCAAATATTTAATTATTTGAGCTACATAACTACTTATACTAGCTCAGGAAATTTTGAGTCATTTTGTAAAAATAAGCTTTTCTTTAAAATTCCTTTTTTGCCTCCACCCCTTATGCTTAATGACCCTTATGCTTAATAAACGGAAGGTTATGAAAACCAAAAGCTGAGTATATAATTACAAATTGAACTAATAAATACTTTACAAATGCAACTCTTCACATTTCAGCAGAATTTTTTGAAAACACATTTATATAAATTGTTGTAGAAATCGACAAAGTTTTATGCCAATTTAAGGTTTTTTTCCTTCTTATTTTCGGTTGCTTATGAGCATATTAAAAAAGTTTTCCCGCTCAAAATGTAAACTATTTTAAAATATTCGTAATCGCACTTTTATTATTATTATTGATACTATTATAAGAATTGTCAGATTCTATTGTAAGAATTATAATTGTATTTAGTACAGAAAATTTAATGGATTTGGAATCTGTGCAAGAGGACTGAAACTATCATGGAGGTAATTTCTAAGAACTAGATCTCATCCACACTGAACGTAGAAAACTCTGGAAAACTTTCATAGAACAAGTGCGTTCGCCAGAATTTGAACCCAAGTTGAATTACCAGTGCTCGGTGGTTTTAGCGCTTGGCCACTGGGACACCCCACAGCTGGATTTAAAAATCGTGTTTAGAAAACTTTCATCTTGATTGTGACACTGAGGGTTAGGATTATTTGAATACAGCAAAACACATGAGGACTATCTGCTTTTAAGGAGAAAGATGCCTTCATATAAGACTTTCTAACGAACGGCTCATATTCATGTTACACATAGAAGAATATCATACAGCCATCACATTCGTTCATCTGAGTTTAAATCTAACTCGAACAACTAATATTTAGCGGTCTTATTGGCCACTGATATGGCTCTTGTATAATAGGGGAAATAACTATTACAGTCAAAAGTCGGTAATCCGGACTCGTCGGGACTTCGGCGATTCCGGATTATAGATCATCAGTTTAAATCTGGTAAGATGGCATGCAGAAATTATAAAATTTAAAAATATGAAACCGTAATTTATGAAATAAAGAACAATTATGATCTAAAGGGTATCCAAATTTACAAAAAAAAAAAAAAAAAAAAAAAAAAAAAAGCTTAATATTTGTTTGTTTACTTTATTAAACATTTCTTTCAATGTAAGTTGTTTAAGTTGCTTCGTTTTTTATGTGATAATACATTCTCTTTAATTTTATAAACAGACATAATTTCTTGTTCAGTTACAAAGTTCCGCTGTTCAAGTCCTATAATTGCTGTGTCGAGAATACCGACTAATTTGTCAATTGAAATTTTTTCATTTTCAATAACCTCTGTCACTTTCTTTGCTATCTGAAGCGAATTATAATGATGAGGCATTTGATTTAAATCATAGACGGAGTACATCGAGATGAAATACTACATTTAGTAAGGAATTATAAGCCAAATAAAATAAAAACATCTGCCCTGAAGATAAGGATAGTGTTGACAGATCAACTTCCAATTCATTGCGTGCCCCTGCGTTAAAGATAAACAAAGTTTAGATAAACAAACGTTAAAGTTTAGATAAACAAAGGCTATGCCTTTATCCATTTTTTGCAGCAATTTCACTTTTTGTTTAATGGACTTCGAAACATACTTTTGCTTTGTAGATCCTTTACATATTAGTAAATATATATCAGAAATTCTATTTGACATAATCAAAAGTTCAAGCTTACTTTTATAAAATTGCTCTTAACAGTCCGCAAAAAATAATAAGCTGAATCCAATTTGAAGATTAAGGAACAACGCAATCTGCAACATTAACTGAATTAGATAATTTTAGCTTAGCTTATACCGTCAGTTATACATTAAACGCGCATTCGTAAACGTATTTTGTGCACGCGCATACTCATATTCGCAGCCGTAAAGGTCTTACGTGCATGCGTCAAAGCGACGCATGCGCAGAAAGTTTGTAGCTTTGAGGTTTCGGATTAAAGGTGTCCGAATTAACGACTTTTGACTGTACCAGACTGTATGGCATCTAAATTAAGAAATTTCAAAAAAATTCACTTCTGAGGTAATCTTCAACACAAGTTAAGTTTTTGTTAAATGCTAATGAGTAATATACTTATGAAAGAGTTCACGTAATTTGTGTCATTTTCAGATTGTTAAAATTAGTGTGGTTTTAATCAATAATTATTTAAACCTGCTACAAGAAAAAAAATAGATGAAAATTTTCCTTCAAAATATCAGGAATTATTGAAAAAAAAACTTCTGTAATTCATAAAAAAAAGGAAACGTATTTAACAAGATTTGACATGTGTGAAAAAATAATGAATTATGATCTACTTTAGTGGAGATCTTTGTAATTATATTTCTAGTTCCAAAATCAAAGTGAGAAATCTAGTCGCTGAAGCCACAGAACACTATCAATTCTTGTAGGCTTCTATTTTCAGCGATGATGAAATATATCAGCTGAATGGAATTTTTATAATTTTTCTCTATATGTAAACTAAATGCATGTAAGTTTTCCTTAGAAAGTTCGCCGGAAGTGGAATACTTCTATCTTAGAAGATAGATATCGTGTGCTTTAGTAAAGTTAGCAAATTTAAATACAGTTCCGACAGTAATATGTTTGGGGCCTATTCTAAAAATTGAAAGGAGCGAAATCATCCTACATTGCCACCTTTTACTTTTATAATTTTATCTTAGAATTATATATTGCATTCATAAAAATCTCTCTAAATTAATGTTATCTGGATTTGCAAACCATAAAATACATCTTCACAGATGGTCCTCTTTTACTCACTGGGAGTCAATGCTTCTTGAAGATGCTGATTCATGAATGAAAAATTATTTTCTTGCTTTTCTGGTTGTCCCTAATCGTTCACACAAAAGCCAAACCTTCGAGAGAAAACAACCTATCTATTGGTGTTAATTCCTCAATTAAGAGATACAGCACTGAACGGGGAAAAGTAAGTTTATTTATTTGTAGAAATCTTGACTTTCCTTTTCCCTCAGAATTCGAGCAATTAGAAAATCTACTATAAAAAATATACTCTCTAAGGTATAAAACTTTTCTGTAATGAAATTATAAAATGCAGTACATATATATATACCGCATTTTATATGGTATTATGAGCACAAGGAAAGGCAAAGACGGAGCAGTGTCGATGCGTGCTTAGAACCATATTGAAGAAGAATTTTGATTGCGTAGTATGCTAATAATGTTAACTTGGTAATATCTAAAACTCTTGGCAGTCGCGGCAGTTTTAATTCCATTTTTATTTGCAATTGATATTTGTGGCCACAATCACTTGGCACTTTAGTTGTGCCTTTTCACAGAAGATTTATGTTTTTGATATTGTTGAGAGAGAAAACAAGCCAGCGAAGTTACATCTTAGCAGAGTAGAGAGCAAGGCTGAAGTGGGTAGTTATGCAAGATGGAAGCACGCAAAGAGAAAAGTTTTGGTTTGTAATTTGGTGATTGGTCAACAGGCATCTGCATTAAGGGTCACGAAAATCACATGATTAATTTGCATGACGCAGTTTAGCGCTATTTTTAGGATAGACAGATGGAGTTCCCAAATGAAATAGAAAATATAAGAGGTTATAGCGAATTAAATTTAGAAGTTTGCTTTCATATTTTTTATCTTACATATATATATATATATATATACCGAATTATAAATACTAATTTTAAATACGAATGTACGTTCGGCCGATACGTAAGCTTAAGAAAGTACACAGAAATCTGCATTGTTTCACCTATCAACATACTGTAACGGAAAAGCGATACCAGAAAAGGTAAATTTGAAAAATTTGCGAAAGGCAGAATAATAGCAAGAAATGCGAAATAATCGAAGCAAGAAATGCGAAAATTCAGCAGTGCTCTCATTATGCTTTTACCAATAAAGTCTTCCAAATTCTAGCTGGAAGAACATCCATTTATAGCAAGATAGGAAGAATGGCATAATTCCTTATTTTTTCCCTCTTATAGGGTGAGTGAGAAGAAGCACGACACACTGTCGGCCTAATTCATGTGTTCATGAATTATCATATATCATGTTTCCATTCAGGTTCCACTGTCGAGACATTCCGTTTTTCTAAGGAGGAAATAAGAAAAATCCTCTATGCTCTTACAGGGTTACAAACCGCACACCTTCCGAACTCTAGTCCGATCTACTATCACTTACAGCACAAGAGCCTAAAAAAAGAATGAGATACTTTCTTATAATCTATACGGATATACAAAGTGATGATTCTAAAATTTTATTACCATAAGACTGGAAAAAAATTCAGGATTTAATTCATTTTCATACATTTTAAAAGACGTTCAATTTTTCAGAAAGGTAAGATAAATTATTTATTAGAATGTCAAATGTAAGCATTCCAGTTATTTATATAATAAAGGATAAATTTTATATTTATAAAGAAGAATCTTTAATAATATCCCTCTGATTTTAGAAAGAAATTTATTTCAAGTGATATGTTTAGCTTAAAAGTAACGGGAGCAAAACTATGCTAAAACAAAAGGCACACATATTGTAATTATCTCCTTTAAATTAATGATATCTATACTGCTGACAAATTGTTACTTGACATGCCTACTACAATATTTACGCATAATTGATCCTTTCTAGACTAATACAGGCATAGCATATTTCTATGGAATGATTTGCTATAATTCCTAATTTAAGTTTCACAAACTTTCATATTTAGGGCATTAATTACATCGTACTGAAGATTATTCAATGTATCATAACAAGATTTGCTATCTTGTTATGTTATCTTTATATTTAAAATGACTACATTTTAATGTTATATGCTCACATGTACACATACTCCATAGCTGAATACTGGTAGTTCGACTAGGATTCAATCCCAGGCTGAAAATGTTGAGTGCATGATTTGTTTTCGTGGTTTTCCACCTGTGGAATGCGAATACGAGTCAGTTTTCCTAAGAAAATCCTTCACAAAAGCATTCCTCACCTTATGCGAATAGCCCTCATCTACTCTGTCATATTCTAATAGCCTAACCTTTTTTACTAGACAGAAGAATCTTTTTTTTTTTTTTTTAATGTACGACTACTAATGGTGTCAAAAACTGCAGTTTTCTTTTTATTCCTTCTCTTCAATGCAAAAAAATACACATCGATCAATCAGTGTTACTTTACATAAAATCTATGTGAATTTTTATTTTTTCCACTATTTATTTATGTGTTGAAGAGTTTTCATATGCATGAATGGACAATAAGCTTCTCTGTATTATAAGCACAGAATGTTTCCATATTAACTTTCTCTGGAACATTCAAAATTTAATATTTCGTGAATGTGATGGAAAGGAAGTTTGCATGTAACATTAAGTCAACTTTTTTTCCGCACACTGTAACATTAAAAGATAGTCTCTAGTTTCTAGAAGTCTACTGTCACTAGTTTTCCAAATAGAAATATCGTTTATAATGTCGATCAAAGTTGTAAGTATATTAACTTATAGTAGCAGGGAAAGAAACTCGAAAATCATTTTATTCAAATGTTTTGATCATTTCATTAAAATTTACACAGCAACTGACACTGAAATATTTACATGATGGCATTAAGATTGCTTGCTAATTAAAAGTTGTTAATAATATAACATTTTATTTTGTAACGAAAAAGCTTGCTGAAACTAAATAATTATAACATTATAGAATATTAAATTTTTAATTAAAATTTTAAGTTTATGAATTAAAACTGTGATAATTAACTAAATTTCTGAGCAATTCTTCTGAGTTAAAATGCAGTTTTAATTTAGAACTTAAAAATTTAAAGGCAGTATTAATAAATTTGACATTTGTGAAATTTTTAACAATTATTCAACCTGAATGACAATATTGTGCATCTCTTTTGAAGCAATTAGACATGAATCAAAGACTGAACAATTTTAAGATGAAGCATTGTTATTAATAACCAATAAATAAAGCAAAAATGCACATAATTTGATGGAATTCACATCAAAATTGGTAAAAAGCATTTCATTCTTTCCACAAAAATCTCTAAAGAAATTAATTTAAAATTTTTAATGGAACTATAATTGCATAATAGACTTCTGTATTCATAAATGTGGTTATAAGAAGTATAAAACAAAAATTAAATATTCATGCAGTGTTCTGTAGAACATTTATTGCTTTATATTGTAATATCTAGATTAATAGATATCTTGCTGAAACGTCATAGAAACTCTAATCCTTAATTTCTGCTTCATGCAAACATCTCAGTCATAGAATAAGTCAGAGACGGGGAAACATTTTTACAAAAGTTGAAGGCTGTATGGTTCATCCCTGTCCCAAATAACCCGAGGGGAAAATTAGGAGGATCTAAGCTTTGAATACGCTTCAGTTTTACAACTCTCTCAACTTGAATGCTTAACAGATGGAAAGCAAAGAGGGTGGGGAGAAATGTTTTTGCTGGAGATAAAACTGTTTTGAGACACTCTGAGTTTACGAGGCAAGCCCATTTTGAGGACAAAAGTGAAAACTTTTGTGAGACATTTTGGTCTTTTTTCGCCATCAAAGTGAAAACCGGCAATGGGTTAAGATGCAATATAACAATGAATAGTGGCAAGTGATTCAACAAAATATTTTTAACTATTTCTTTTTCTCAGTACATAAATTTCAAGAATATTTAATAAAAGATATTTAAATGTTTAATGTCTTAGAATGCACATATGTAGTGCAGACCTTTTAAAATTTATTAGAAAGAAATCTGAGATAATTACTGTTATTTTTGCTCAGCTTCACAAGAAATATACTAAGATTTTATTTCATGTTCATTAAAATAAAATTAAAGACAATATTTTCATACTTACACATCAGCTCCATACGGCACTGTGCCTTTGATCTCAACCAGCTTTCCGTCATGAAGTCCTCCAGGAATAGGACCTCGATAAGGTACTTGCTAAAATAATTAAATGAATCTATAAAGTACATGAAATATATCTTAGAAATTTAGTAAAAAATAATGTTATGTTTCAGAAAGCTACTGAATATCTTTCAGTGAACTTTAATTTCATAAAAGATGAAAATTGCATTTAAAAAAAGATTTGTTAAAAAGAAAAAAAGACAACACAGAATTTATCTGACAATTTAACATTAACATCTTTGCTTACTTAAATTTAAATAGTTACAGAAACACGATTATTTCATTTTCAGAACATAACTGTATTTTGTACATGAAGTATCTCTATCTTTTCCCCCATCTGAAAGTGCTGTCACTAAAACCCTATTTACAATAAAATCAGAACTGTTTTTAAAGTAATAACTTACATTTGGTTTTAGTGAAGTCATAAGTTCAAAATATGTAAAAAATAAACAGATCAACACAAATTGATAATTTTCTACTAAGAACAACCTATATTTATTTATATATTCTGTATTCCTACTACCTCTTTAACTGGAATTATTTTCAGTGTAAAAAAAAAAAATTAGTATTCACTAGCTCTCATTCATTCCATGCCGCCCAACTGGTATAGTGGTTTGCATCACAGACTACTGTGCTGAAGGGCCTAGGTTCGAATCCTAAAGAAGGCATGGATATTTGTAAATGTATAGTGTACATGAGGGATGAAGAGCACTCTTAAATTATGTGGTGATCCGAAAGTCTTCTCGAAAGGTTGTTGGTAGGGGAAGAGGGGTGGGAGACCTTTGGACCCGGCCACCTGGGTGCTCTCCATCAAAATTGGAGGGTGAACTGAGCTAAATCATACTATCATCTGCATGGTGCTCAAGGCTGTTGCCAATGGCAGGCCTAAACTTGTGCTCCTTGCCACACGGAATTTCATGGGCTTGGGCTGGGCTGATTAGAGGTCAAACAAGTGAGCATTAGCAACAACATAAAGACACATGTTTCTATTTTTTGCCAGTTTTAATCATTATAAAAATGACATTACAGAGCTCATTTAAAAGATATAGAAATCTTTAAATGTAGCGGCGGCGTAAATCAGGTGGAAAAAAGGGGGAGGTGGATGATTAACATTGATCATTCTTTTTTTGAGGAACAAACAAATATACATAAATAAACAAAAAATACCTGTTGAATTTACACACATTTTTATTCTTGAAGAAAAGTGATCTATGTCCATTGCTCTCCAAATTGAGAAATGGCACAAAATCTTAATTAACCTAAGGGCATTTTTTTTTTTGCCAATTATTTTAATTTATAGCAACAAAACTGCACTACGAAAGAATGATTATAAAAAAAATCATGCAACATTAAAAATTTAGCTGTATAGGCTAATTCTAATAAATTATTCTTCCTCAGATGACATTACTTCAATGAAACGGTTCAAATTTACGAGTGAATCATTTTAAAATAAAAAAAAAAAAATTTCTGCAGTAGATGTCTTAAAACGTGGAATGAAATATATCACTAAATCAGATAACATGTTTTCAGAAAATTACAGGAACTTCGAGAAAATTAAAAGCAATACTTCTTGTTCGTGCTTGAAATTACGTATTTAATAAGAACTTTTTAAAAAAATTCACTGAAATTTCTTACTGTTGGGTAAACTACTGCTTCAGGATCAGGATACTTTGTTTCACAATCGCCGAACATTTTCAAAATTTCAGAACCATATGTCACATAATAATCAATACTCGGAGTTAACTACTGATTGTACTTCACTCGAGTACTTTACCTAGCTCGACAGTTGGGAATGTCAACAAAAACAGCAATTGGATATCGCGTAGAATGACGTAATTCGTATCACATGACACATAGTGGACTCGGAGTTGTGCAACGAATTTTTAACACGATAGGTTAAGGCTACTATAAAGGGGAGCTGAATCATCATTCATTTTGAAGCTAACTTGTTGGTATTCGCTATTGGATTAGCACTGATTTCTTGACATATTTGTGGATCGATTCCGACCTAATTTTCAGAAGTATGGGTGGTTGTGCTGCACCATATTGTTCGAATCAGTCTAAAAATAACTTTAGGATGTTTCGTTTCCCTAGAAATGAAGAAAGACGAAGAAAATGGATAGTTAATTCTCGTCGAGATCAATGGATCCCGGGCCCAGGAGCGTATCTTTGTGAGGTAAGTTCAGCTTCGTATTTTTCCATAGAATGTTAGAAAAATTACTCTTCTTGGTACTTTAAAATATTTATTTTCATTTAACTGTCACTTATTGACGATCAACTGATTTTATAAGTACAAAATCAACTGCGGAATGTGTATGTGTTTGTGCAGTAAAATATCGCAATTGTTTCATGTTGTTTCTTTTGTTATCGTGAAAAGTTTATACCGTTTGTAAAAAATTTGTATCATACATTTCATGTAAACTTTGTGCTCAGTTAGAAATGTGATGTGCCTTTTTTTTCTTTAATTTTTGTACGATTGGTGATTTAAAGTAGCATTCTATGTTTTGATTCTGATGTATTGTCGCCAAATCGGATAGTTGGCGCCAATGTTAAAAACTGGATGGTATGATCCAAATAATAAATGATTTTGTTTTTTCTTTATAGTAAGATAAATATATTCTGTATTTTTAGACATTTTTAAGAAGTTAAATATTAATTTAAATATTCGATGAATCGTTTTGATCCCATTATTATCCTTTATTGTAGTAGTAAATCTTAATGTTATATTTTTAACTATAGGTACTTTAAATTTATTTTTAGTGTGTGAGCAGGAAATATGTTTTAAGTAGTTTTACAAACATGATTACTTTTTAAAAATTTTGTTCTATTTTCATAAAAAAAAATTTAAATTTATCAGAAAATTACATTCTTAAATTAATATAATATATGTAACTGTAATTAAATACTAGTGCTTCTGATTTTAATGTTAAATTTCATGCATGCTTTTGTTAAATATGCAGGTACCTTTTGAAGAAAATCAATTTGAATGCTCTAGGCAAGATGGGCGTAAAAAACTCAAGCCCAATGCTGTGCCAACTCTTTTCAATGTGCCTAATCCCCCACAACTGTTGACCCCACAGCATCTAAAAGGCATTGGTTTACCAAAGCAGCACCGTTCAGTTACATCCAATTTTTGTAATGTATGTGTTTTTTATTTTTATGGTTTTTCATAAAAAAATATGTTTTTATTACAAATGGACTAAATTGCTTTATAAAAGAATCAAAAAATATTGAAATTAAGGCATTATGTGATAAAGCTGTAATTACAGTCCCTAAGATTAGATTAAAAAATTAAAATTTTGCTGTTGTTATATATATAATTAAGTGTGTACTTTGTTATTATAATCATATATTGAAAATTAAGCATAAAACCTCAATTTTGATGTAGTTTTTGGATAAAGTTTTTTGTAGTTTTTCGAGGACAGTCATACATGGGTCTGGTTTCTTCAAATTTGCTCCTAAAAGAAAGAAACCTGTATCTGATTGCCTTCAAAGTCAAAAGAGTTTAAATCAAAATTTGTATTAAACTAAAGTTGCTTTTTTGCTTAATTTTAAATTCCAGATAAATAGAGAGAAATATGTATGGAGTAAGTAAAAGAAATAATATTGAAATTAATAACTTTAATCTTGAGTAATACAATAATATAGTTATAATACATTGATTTAAATGTATTATTTTAATGTCTTATATGTCTTGTCTGAATGTTGTTATTTTTTTTGTTTAAAGATTTACAAAACTTATTAGGATTATTTATTATTAAAATTACATTAAGTATATTTTATTTATCAGCATTTTCAGGTATCCTTACTTATATGTGTTTCATAATTTTTTGCATCTTCAGGTGGCTTGCTGCACAGTTTACCTTTATCAACTGAAGCGATTTCTGTTGCTGAACCATCTGTTGTAAGTCTTCATTTGAACAGTTATTAAATATTTAGTATTATAAACTTTTTCTAAAAAGTATTAACACTGTTTCTAAAATTTAAAAATATATTAACGTAATATTTACTTATGTTTAAGAAGTATGAATGCTATGAACAGTCCAATGTATTTATGCTTTTTTTATAAGTTGAAAGTTACTTTTAAAATGGTAAATTATTTGTATTTATTTTTATCTGATCAGAGTTTATAATTTCTTTCACTTCCACATATTGCATATATTATAATTTCTTTTATGTTTATTTGCCACAACCTTCAGCTTCATATTTTGGAGAAATAAATTTTGCTGCCGAAGTATCTGATGTAAATTGCCATATTGCACTTCTAAAAAAATGTTAATAGTTTGTAACATCTATTCGTAAACTGTACTATTTTTTTTTTAAATGTTTCCATCTTCATAATCATGCACTTTATTTCATTTCACCAGTGGTTGCAAATGTGTACATTACAGTACATCTCAGGTGTGTTTGCAACAACATTTAGCATTACCTTCTGATTAAATAACAGCTGCTAGTAAAGAATCTATGCTATGTTTTCATTTGAGCAGCTATTAAATGTCATATGTTTTACATATATTAATGAATTTTTATACATTTTCTGAAATATGAAATTGTTTGTCTTATGGTTGCTAAACAGCTGTACTATATCTGGCTGTTGTGCTATGGAATTATTTTTGAATTTTGAGTGTTAACAATTTATTATCTATTTATGAATTATAAAATGTTATGTAAAATAATTATTTCTTAAAATGAATGTAGTTTATATTATCTATATTTCTAAATTTCTTATATATATTTCAGGTTTGTTTGCAAGAACAAGCTTCAACTTCATCTTGTGATAAAATGCCATCTATTTGTGAAGGATCTCATGTAAGTAGATAATTAGTGTATTATTAAATTGCTTGCTTATACAAAACGTTTCTATTAACTTTTTTTTGAGGGGGGTAAAAGGAATGTAATTAATTTCATCAGCATTTACAAATTCTTTGTGTACATTTCAGGTTTGTTTTGCAAGAACAGCCTTTAGCCTCATTTTGCAATGAAATACCATCTATTTGTGAAGGCTCTGATGTAAGTTGATAACTAATGTATAATTAAATTGCTTCCTTATATAACATTTAAAATGTTCTATAAAGTAATTTTTTGGTAAAAGGAATGTAATTAATTTCATCAATAGTTGCAAATTCTCTATGTAAATTTTCAGTTTTGTTTGCAAAAACAACCTTTAGATTCATCTTGCAACCAAATTGTAATTAATTTTAATTAATTTCATCAGCATTTGTGAAGGCTGTGATATAAGTTGATAATTTGTGTTATTAAATTGCTCATGATTATGGAGATAATCGATCCCTTGAAAAGCTGGAAATAAATTTTAAAAATCTATTTTTAAGTGAAATAAATTTTAAATATTAGAAAAATAAAACAAAAATAATCTAGAAAATGCTGAAAACAATAGAGTCAATTTAAAAAAACCCACCACAGTGTAGGAAAAGAGACCTGGAAGTTGCATTTTTATTTTGTGGATTTATTATCTGTTTAAGTTTGGCATTTAATCCAAAGGGGCTTTGTCCCTGAAGGACTATTGTTTTCGTTTTTTATTGAAACACTATAAACGGCTGCATCACTTTTCAAATTGTTGCTACCAAATATTATCACCCTATTATATAGTGAAGAATCTGCATAAATGCATGTATGTTTTCGCATTCTGATAAAACAATGGTACCTAGAGCCATCAAATTTTGAATGACTTAATTCTACTGTGAATATGGACATCTGGAAGCCCGAATTTGGAATTTGTTTTAATATAGATTTTATATGTTGTAAAACTTTAACGAATTTTTGATTAGCAAACTTGAGGATTTCAAAGCGAGCAATGGCAATGTTGTACAGAAAAGACACTTTTATCTCCGGCGTGTGAGACAATGAATCGGGAATTCTGAAGATATGTTCATTTTAAAATTATCTTGCAATATTGCTGTTGAAGTGAATTTTAAGTGTGAAAAACTTGATATTTAATAAATAAAGGTTCCAGGATGTTCTTTTAAGAAATTTTATAAAACAGCAGACTGAATTGATCTCGCTTCTGCAATGCCAGAACAAAATATTACTGAAAGAACTTAGAGCAACCAAAAAAAAAAAAAAAAAATGAAATTAATGTTTTAAAAAAATTGGCATAGCACTGAAATTCAACTTCATGACCTTCAAGTACAGCATGAGGAATTGCTGAAAGGAGTGAAAACATTTCTTTCAGATGAACAAATAGCAATGTTGAAAATTCCTCGTTAAGCATTGCAAAATGGTCTAACAGGGGAATAATAAAAGGCCTCAAAGTTAGATTTGCCTTGGGCAAGCATGGTTATAATTACTTGCACAGAATAGGTTTTCCTGTGCCTTCATACAGCACTTTAAATAAAAGACTTCAAGGTCTTGAAATTAATTTTGGAGTCATCAGTGACATGATTGAACTTTTGAAAATTAAAGGAGAAAAAATGAATGCTAGTGATAAAGACTGTATTTTATCATTGGATGAAATGGAGATTTCTGGCAATCCTGATTTTGATATTTCAAAACATAAATTTATTGGTAAATGTACATTAGGAAATCAAAAGGGTGCAGGAAATCACTATTTAGTTATTTTACTAAGAGGTCTGAAGCTTGGAAGCAAGTGGTTGCCCATGAGATAACTAGACAGGTAACAGGATGCCAGCTCAAACAACTTGTTGTCAATGTTATCGAAGCTGTCAATTCTGTTGGATTTAATGTTGTTGGTATTGTTAGCGATATGGCAGCAGTAAATAGAAGCCTGTGGAATTCTTTGGGAATATCTGTTTCTTGAAACCAAAGAAATAATTTCACTACTGAAATTAAGGGCAAAATTATTTATGTATTTGCAGATGTGCCACATCTTTTAAAAAATCTCTGGTCTGCAACTCTTAATCATAGTATAAAACTGCCCAGTTATGTTTGCAATAAAGAAAATTTGGTTACTTTGCATGTATCTGCAGGATTTATAAAAGATATCTGGATTACTGAAACAAACCAAAATTGTGGTTTGAGAACTATGCATCATCTCAGCAAAGAAGACCTCTTCCCCTCACATATTTTGATAAAATGAATGTTGCTTCTGCTGTGAGGTTTTTTTCAATTAAAACAGCTGTGGGATTGGAGAAGGCAGTAGCTTTAAAAGAGATAAGCCCTAATGCTCTTACAACAGCATGGTGGAATAAGATTTATATGTCAGTGGTTTCAAATGCTATCCTCTAGATGTAGAAAGAACTCAATTTCTGTGACAAATAAAAGCAAAAAAATTGAGTTACTTTTTGAATTTATTAATGTTATACAGCTTATAGAAATTGGTAAAGGGTGGAAACCATTACATACTGGTTTGATTCTTTCTACTTTATCAGCCATACAGTTAGCAGAGGCATGTTTTCTGAATGATTTTCAGTTTATTTTGATGAGCAGATTGACACAAGATGCTCTAGAAAATGTATTTTCTCAGATACGCAGAAAAGCTGGTTTGAGGCCAAGTGCTTTGCAAGCTGTGAAAGCATTAAAGCTTATCTGTTTATCTCAGTTTATATCTGACATTAAGAACTCCAGTTATGCTACTGATTCAGATATTTACTTATTTAAACTATGCGAAAGATGAATTTGAATTTCTGAAGGAGAAAAAAGCTTTAGAGCCTGTTACCCATACCAGAAGTTTCTGATGTATCTCTACAGAATCTCACCCTTAGTGAGGAAAATAACGTCTGTTATATTGCAGGAGCTGCAATAAATTCTGTTTTGAAAAATGCTTGTAATTCATGCTTCACAGTTTCTCTTAGTTTGTGAGCAAAATACTCCTTCCATTGATGAAAATAAGCAGTACATAATTAATTTTGCAAATTTAGGTGGGCTTAAATGTCCTTCTCCTGATTTTTAACTGAAATTTTTAAATTGTGCCTTCTGTGTGAAAAAATAATTCAAAATTTTCGAGACGAAATAATACATGGAAATGTAACTATGGATGAGGAATTTGTTAATATGATTTGTAAGAAAGCAGGCGAGGTAAATATTCCTCCTGTTGCAATATCAAAACAAAGATAATAAAATATTATTTGACTGCCCGTGGAATTGGTCTCAAGAAGCTTCTTCAAAATAAAAAGGCAGCAGCGGCAAAGTTTTGCATCTCCTGCTTTTAAAAGGAAGAAAGTAAACTAGAATCTAATCAAGAGTTTAAGAAGTTTTTGCTGTTCAGTTCTGTCTGTAAAAAAGTAGAGTAGTTGTCACTGAAAAATTGCTGCTTGTCTCTTCGAATAATAATTAGGCCCACCAACAGCTGAATGGTTAAAGTTACTGAATGCTGGGAGTTCCATCTTCTGTTCTATTTCCGAACAGGCTGGCTGCATGGTTGGTTTTTTTTGTGGTTTTTCCCCATGTGTAATGTGAATACAAGCCAGTTCTCCTTAGAAAGTCCTCTACAATAGAAGATCTCATAGTCAGCTAAATCGGATTTACTTTTGTGTGACCTTAAATGAGGCATCAATTGTGAATCTGTTTTGGCATGTTATTAGGAATTTTAAATGAAACATTTATTGCTGTTGTGAAAGAATGATCAACTGATGTTTACCTTACTAATCAATGTCTTATAGTATTGTAATGGCTTGCAGGATTTTTCATAATGAGATGTTGCATATGTTTTACTCTTCTTTTTTACCAAATAAATAGAGTATGTTCCTAATCAGACATTTCTTCTTTTGTACCAGGGTTATGTGGTATGATGTGATAATTTGTATTTGTTTATAGAATACATAACAGTATTTTTTGACATTCTAATTAATAGAACCAGTGTATTTTATTTATTTACTTATTGCTTTAAAACAGATTTTGAATCAAGGCTTACTTCCCACCCCCCTTTGAGTATGCACATAAAACGTGTTTAAGCTATATTTATAATATCAATGAGATATATTTAAATGAAATAAGTCTCTTAGGTTAGCTCCTTTA